TGTACAAACCTGGTGGCCAACTACAAGAAATGTCTGACCTCTGTGATTGCCAACAGGGGTTTTGCTACCAACTACTAAGACATGTTTTGCAGAGGGGTCAAATATTTATTTCCCTCATTAAAATGCAAATCAATTTATAGCATTTTTGACATGCGTTTTTCTGGATTTTGTTGTTGTTATTCTGTCTCTCACTGTTCAAACAAACCTACCATTAAAATTATAGACTGATCATGTCTTTGTCAGTGGGCAAACGTACAAAATCAGCAGGGTATCAAATACTTTTTTCCCTCACTGTGTATATATATATACAGTGGGGAGAACAAGTATTTGATACACTGCCGATTTTGCAGGTTTTCCTACTTACAAAGCATGTAGAGGTCTGTAATTTTTATCATAGATACACTTCAACTGTGAGAGACGGAATCTAAAAATCCAGAAAATCACATTGTATGATTTTTAAATAATTAATTTGCATTTTATTGCATGACATATGTATTTGATCACCTACCAACCAGTAAGAATTCCGGCTCTCACAGACCTGTTAGTTTTTCTTTAAGAAGCCCTCCTGTTCTCCACTCATTACCTGTATTAACTGCACCTGTTTGAACTCGTTACCTGTATAAAAGACACCTGTCCACACACTCAATCAAACAGACTCCAACCTCTCCACAATGGCCAAGACCAGAGAGCTGTGTAAGGACATCAGGGATACAATTGTAGACCTGCACAAGGCTGGGATGGGCTACAGGACAATAGGCAAGCAGCTTGGTGAGAAGGCAACAACTGTTGGCGCAATTATTAGAAAATGGAAGAAGTTCAAGATGACGGTCAATCACCCTTGGTCTGGGGCTCCATGCAAGATCTCACCTCGTGGGGCATCAATGATCATGAGGAAGGTGAGGGATCAGCCCAGAACTACACGGCAGGACCTGGTCAATGACCTGAAGAGAGCTGGGACCACAGTCTCAAAGAAAACCATTAGTAACACACTACGCTGTCATGGATTAAAATCCTGCAGCGCACGCAAGGTCCCCCAGCTCAAGCCAACGCATGTCCAGGCCCGTCTGAAGTTTGCCAATGACCATCTGGATGATCCAGAGGAGGAATGGGAGAAGGTCATGTGGTCTGATGAGACAAAAATAGAGCTTTTTATGGTCTAAACTCCACTCGCCGTGTTTGGAGGAAGAAGAAGGATGAGTACAACCCCAAGAACACCATCCCAACCGTGAAGCATGGAGGTGGAAACATCATTCTTTGGGGATGCTTTTCTGCAAAGAGGACAGGACGACTGCACCGTATTGAGGGGAGGATGGATGGGGCCATGTATCGCGAGATCTTGGCCAACAACCTCCTTCCCTCAGTAAGAGCATTGAAGAAGGGTCGTGGCTGGGTCTTCCAGCATGACAACGACCCGAAACACACAGCCAGGGCAACTAAGGAGTGGCTCCATAAGAAGCATCTCAAGGTCCTGGAGTGGCCTAGCCAGTCTCCAGACCTGAACCCAATAGAACATCTTTGGAGGGAGCTGAAAGTCTGTATTGCCCAGCGACAGCCCCGAAACCTGAAGGATCTGGAGAAGGTCTGTATGGAGGAGTGGGCCAAAATCCCTGCTGCAGTGTGTGCAAACCTGGTCAAGACCTACAGGAAACATATGATCTCTGTAATTGCAAACAAAGGTTTCTGTTCTCTTCATTTCATCCCTGAAACATTATCTTGTCTTGTACAACAGCATCACCTAGTGTTGTAGTTCTGAATAGCCATGGAAGAGGTTTGAGAGTATAGCCTACATTTTTTACGTCTCTTTCTCAATTTGTCTTTCCTCAATTACTTACGTCCTCTCTCCTTGCTTCCTTTTCAAAGCGTATTGAAGGTAAAGATCCAATGTCCCTTCCCTCTGACTTTTATCTCCGATGCATTTTGAGAAGGAGGTGGGGACTGAGGACGCGAGGAAAGAGGAATTGAGAAGGAGCACCTAAAACTCTCTTGAGAACACTAGATGGAGCCACAGTGTCAGGAAAGAGAGCCAGTTGGGACTAATGGTCGTCAGAGGAATCCACTGATGTCACAATGTCATCATCACATAAATGGGTTTGGTAACAGGAAGAAGAACTCTGTAGAGTTGATGGGTTTGGTAACAGGAAGAAGAACTCTGTAGAGTTGATGGGTTTGGTAACAGGAAGAAGAACTCTGTAGAGTTGATGGGTTTGGTAACAGGAAGAAGAACTCTGTAGAGTTGATGGGTTTGGTAACAGGAAGAAGATCTCTGTATAGTTGATGGGTTTGGTAACAGGAAAAAGAACTCTGTAGAGGTGATGGGTTTGGTAACAGGAAGAAGAACTCTGTAGAGTTGATGGGTTTGGTAACAGGAAGAAGAACTCTGTAGAGTTGATGGGTTTGGTAACAGGAAGAATAACTATGTAGAGGTGATGGGTTTGGTAACAGGAAGAAGAACTCTGTAGAGTTGATGGGTTTGGTAACAGGAAGAAGAACTCTGTAGAGGTGATGGGTTTGGTAACAGGAAGAAGAACTCTGTAGAGTTGATGGGTTTGGTAACAGGAAGAAGAACTCTGTAGAGGTGATGGGTTTGGTAACAGGAAGAAGAACTCTGTAGAGTTTATGGGTTTGGTAACAGGAAGAAGAACTCTGTAGAGTTGATGGGTTTGGTAACAGGAAGAAGAACTCTGTAGAGTTGATGGGTTTGGTAACAGGAAGAAGATCTCTGTAGAGTTGATGGGTTTGGTAACAGGAAGAAGATCTCCGTAGAGTTGATGAGTTTGGTAACAGGAAGAAGAACTCTGTAGACATACGTTTGTAAAAAAAAAAAAGCATGATGCAAAATAAGTAGGCTTGAATGTAAAGTTTTAATAGGGTGCAGATGAGCATGATTAGATTTAATTTGTAATGTTTTAATGGATTTGCAGAAATGATGGCTGTGTGTGTGTGTGTGTGTGTGTGTGTGTGTGTGTGTGTGTGTGTGTGTGTGTGTGTGTGTGTGTGTGTGTGTGTGTGTGTGGTTCTCTCCTGGTCCTCTGGATTGTGACCTGTAGAACAATTAGAAATCCAACATAATATATTTCAGACCGGGTTGCTCCCATTCCTCTGGTGCTTATCATTTTAACTCAATTTGGGAACATCTCAGGACACAAACTAAATTACAGCAAAAGTGAACTGTACCCAATTACGAAGACTGCTCTGGCTAATAAGACTCTTAATTTCCCATTCAAAATTGTTACATATCGTTTTAGATACTTAGGAATTACTGTTCCTTGGTACAGACTTGCTGAAGGAAAATGTCATGCGGCAATTGGAAATGACTAAGAAAGACCTGCTACAATGGTCCATCCTACCCATATCACTTATGGGTCAAATAAATTCTATCAAAATGAACGTCCTACCGAAGTTCCTATTTTTTCCCCGGTGTATCCTAAAAGGTCTGATCTCAGAGTTTATATGGAATAATACAAATCCACGACTCCATAAAGCCATACTGCAAAAAACCAAAACAACTAGAGGGTTTGGGGCGCACTCATCTTCGGACATATTATTGGGCTGCAAACATTTGTTACATCATGTTTTGGATTCAACCTCATGACTCATGTGGGCAGTCATAGAATCCAGATCCTGTATGACCACATCGTTAAGAGCTATCGTATGCTCTCCCCTTCCAGCTACATTGACCACCTTCACTAATAATTACCTGGTCAGACAAACTCTCAAGTGATGGAATAACCTAGATTTTAGAGACATTCTTCCCTACTCCCCTTTGTAACCATCTATTTTCAACATCCCTTGTAGACAAAGCTTTTAAAATAGGGAGAGAAAGTGGTGTGACATCACTCTATGACCTCTGTAAAGATAGCACCTGTATAACTCTATGACCTCTGTAAAGATGGCACCTGTATCACTCTATGACCTCTGTAAAGACAGCACCTGTATCACTCTATGACCTCTGTAAAGACAGCACCTGTATCACTCTATGACCTCTGTAAAGATGGCACCTGTATCACTCTATGACCTCTGTAAAGATGGCACCTGTATCACTCTATGACCTCTGTAAAGACAGCACCTGTATCACTCTATGACCTCTGTAAAGACAGCACCTGTATCACTCTATGACCTCTGTAAAGATGGCACCTGTATCACTCTATGACCTCTGTAAAGACGGCACCTGTATCACTCTATGACCTCTGTAAAGATAGCACATTTGCATCATTTGAATATATTTCAAATACATTGAATATTCCAAATGCCCATTTCTTTAGATACTTACAAGCCAGAGCTCTGGGCCCAAATAAATTACAAATGATTTCCCACAGGTACCATTTCACAGCATTTTGGATGATATATTCAAAACCAATCCAACTGCAAAAGGATGTCTATCGGCTTTTTATTCAACATTAGTAACTGTTGGCCCTCCATGCCTACAATCATTGAGATCAACTTGGGAACAGGATTTAGGAATCGAAATTTCAACTAACAGTTGGGATAATCTTTTCTATATGTACCAGGCATGTTGTTCCACACTTTAAAGTGGTACATAGAAATCACTACAAATGCCAGGATGGCCAAGTTCTATTCCCAAGTTGACCGCAAATGTGAACGATGCCAACATAACTGCAGCTCATGGACATATGTTCTGGTTTTGTCCCAAACTAAAAGGCTATTGGGATGCTATTTTTAATGCAATATCCAGTATAACACAAGTATCTATAACTCTTGACCCACTGATAGCTGTAACTCCTGACCCACTGATGGCTGTAACTCCTGACCCACTGATAGCTGTAACTCCTGACCCACTGATAGCTGTAACTCCTGACCCACTGATAGCTGTAACTCCTGACCCACTGATAGCTGTAACTCCTGACCCACTGATAGCTGTAACTCCTGACCCACTGATAGCTGTAACTCCTGACCCACTGATAGCTGTAACTCCTGACCCACTGATAGCTATCTTTTGGGATAGCTGCTGGTAGTTCTGGAATAGTAAATTGCCTTGCCATATGCCTGTCTGATTGGCAGAAACCCAAACCCCCATCTTACAATCAATGGGTTAACAGCATGTTGCAGTCTCACTTTGGAGAAAATGAAACAATTTTATTTTATAAGACTTGGCAACATTTTGTTTATTTTGTTGAAACCAATACCAGTGTTTGATTGATTATGTACCTGCGTTTACACTTGTACTCCTGTGCATACAGTACCAGTCAAAAGGTTGGACATACCTACTCATTCCAGGGTTTTTCTTTATTTTTACGACTTTCTATATTGTAGAGATAATCCATTCACCCACACCGCGTCTCACAAAGACAACAAAGAAACCAAAAATCTCCAATTTGGACTCCAGACCAAAGGACACATTTCCACCGGTATAATGTCCATTGCTCGTGTTTCTTGGCCCAAGCAGGTCTCTTCTTATTGGTGTCCTTTAGTAGTGGTTTCTTTTCAGCAATTCGACCATGAAGGCCTGATTCACACAGTCTCCTCTGAACAGTTGATGTTGAGATGTGTCTGTGGCTTGAACTCTGTGAAGTATTTATTTGGGCTGCAATTTCTGAGGCTGGTAACTCTAATGAACTTATCCTCTGCAGCAGAGGTAACTCTGGGTCTTCCATTCCTGTGGCGGTCCTCATGAGAGCCAGTTTCATAATAGCGCTTGATGGTTTTTGCGACTGCACTTGAAATAACTTTAAAAGTTCTTGAAATGTTCCATTTTGACTGACCTTCATGTCTTAAAGGAATGATGGCCTGTCGTTTCTCTTTGCTTATTTGTGCTGTTCTTGCCATAATATGGACTTGCACTATTACCAAATAGGGCTATCTTCTGTATACCCCATTACCTTGTCACAACACAACTGATTGGCTCAAACGCATTAAGAAGGAAATAAATTCCACAACTGAACTTTTAACAAGGCACACCTGTTAATTGAAATGCATTCCAGGTGACTAACTCATGAAGCTGGTTGAGAGAATGCCAAGAGTGTGCAAAGCTGTCATCAAGGCAAAGGGTGGCTATTTGAAGAATCTCAAATATAAAATATATTTTGATTTGTTTAACACTTTTTTGGTTACTACATGATTCCATATGTGTTATTTCATAGTTTTGATGACTAAAAAATAGTAAAAATAGAAACTCTTGAATGAGTAGGTGTGTCCAAATGACCGTTTATTCACGGTAACTAGGCTTTTCCAAAACTGCTCTCTGATGCTGCTGCTGGTCATTAGTAGCCTACCAAACTTGCTAACTGCCTGGTACTCCGCGATCTATTGTCCCTCTAATCACTCTGACGTCAATGCAAATGCTATCGAAAATCTAATCAAACACTTCATGAGAGCCCATGAGCTCATGTTGCGTAACATTTCTATAGGCTGTGGAATTGCGTGAGAAAAGAGAATTTTGATGGCCTCTATTAAAAAGAGGAGGATCCAATCAGCTTTCTATAGGCTAGGCCTAATATATTTATTTCTCAACTTTCCTAATAGTAAGCCCAGTGATTCGCTTTACAACTGGAGTAGCCTACCTGGCTGGCATGAAAATGAGCTGCGGGAAAAGCGTCCTCCATTTGATATTCAAGTGCATAGATGACATGTATTTTCCCCCTGTCACGGTTCTGACAGGGGCATGATAATGGTCCATTCTAAACCAGAACTAATTTCACACATAGATTATTTAGTATATATAAAGACAAGATTAAATTAAGAATAGTCTGTTGGGTCTGATCACTTGTGAATGATGCCCAGAATCATCACATGCCTTTTTTTGCGTCTTTTTCAAATCATAGTCGCACACCTCATGTAGCCTAGCCAATAGGCCTATATGTTTTGAGAATATTATTACTTTTGAATGATGCCAAGCGTGTGCAGTCTAAGGCAAGAAACAGCCCATTTTCTTCCCACTTTTTCCATATGATAGTCGCATGCATCACATAGCCTACCCCAATAGGCCTATATGTTTTGATAAGGTTTGTATCACAACTAAAGTGGCCAAATAACTCGTAGCTTATCCTAGAGGCTTAGGACCCCTGGAAGACGGTTGGAGAACACAGAGCCTACAGAGCCTAGGACCCCTGGAAGACGGTTGGAGAACACAGAGCCTACAGAGCCTAGGACCCCTGGAAGACGGTTGGAGAACACAGAGCCTACAGAGCCTAGGACCCCTGGAAGACGGTTGGAGAACACAGAGCCTACAGAGCCTAGGACCCCTGGAAGACGGTTGGAGAACACATAGCCTACAGAGCCTAGGACCCCTGGAAGACGGTTGGAGAACACATAGCCTACAGACCCTAGGACCCCTGGAAGACGGTTGTAGAACACATAGCCTAGGACCCCTGGAAGACGGTTGGAGAACACAGAGCCTACAGAGCCTAGGACCCCTGGAAGATGGTTGGAGAACACAGAGCCTACAGAGCCTAGGACCCCTGGAAGACGGTTGGAGAACACACAGCCTACAGAGCCTAGGACCCCTGGAAGACGGTTGGAGAACACACAGCCTACAGAGCCTAAGACCCCTGGAAGATGGTTGGAGAACACAGAGCCTACAGAGCCTAGGACCCTGGAAGACGGTTGGAGAACACACAGCCTACAGAGCCTAGGACCCTGGAAGACGGTTGGAGAACACACAGCCTACAGAGCCTAGGACCCCTGGAAGACGGTTTGAGAACACAGAGCCTACAGAGCCTAGGACCCCTGGAAGACGGTTGGAGAATACACAGCCTACAGAGCCTAGGACCCCTGGAAGACGGTTGGAGAACACAGAGCCTACAGAGCCTAAGACCCCTGGAAGACGGTTGGAGAACACACAGCCTACAGAGCCTAGGACCCCTGGAAGACGGTTGGAGAACACAGAGCCTACAGACCCTAGGACCCCTGGAAGACGGTTGGAGAACACATAGCCTACAGAGTTTAGGACCCCTGGAAGACGGTTTGACAACACATAGCCTAGGACCCCTGGAAGACGGTTGGAGAACACAGAGCCTAGGACCCCTGGAAGACGGTTGGAGAAAACACAGCCTACAGAGCCTAGGACCCCTGGAAGACGGTTGGAGAACACACAGCCTACAGAGCCCAGGACCCCTGGAAGACGTTGGAGAACACAGAGCCTACAGAGCCTAGGACCCCTGGAAGACGGTTGGAGAACACATAGCCTACAGAGCCTAGGACCCCTGGAAGATGGTTGGAGAACACACAGCCTACAGAGCTTAGGACCCCTGGAAGACGGTTGGAGAACACATAGCCTACAGAGCCTAGGACCCCTGGAAGACGGTTGGAGAACACAGAGCCTACAGAGCCTAGGACCCCTGGAAGACGGTTGGAGAACACATAGCCTACAGAGCCTAGGACCCCTGGAAGATGGTTGGAGAACATAGAGCCTACAGAGCCTAGGACCCCTGGAAGACGGTTTGGAGAACACAGAGCCTACAGAGCCTAGGACCCCTGGAAGACGGTTTGAGAACACACAGCCTACAGAGCCTAGGACCCCTGGAAGACGGTTGGAGAACACAGAGCCTACAGAGCCTAGGACCCTGGAAGACGGTTGGAGAACACAGAGCCTACAGAGCCTAGGACCCCTGGAAGACGGTTAGAGAACACAGAGCCTACAGAGCCTAGGACCCCCTGGAACACAGAGCCTACAGAGCCTAGGACCCCTGAAGACGGTTTGAGAAACACACAGCCTACAGAGCCTAGGACCCCTGGAGACGGTTGGAGAACACAGAGCCTACAGAGCCTAGGACCCTGGAAGACGGTTGGAGAACACAGAGCCTACAGAGCCTAGGACCCCTGGAAGACGGTTAGAGAATACAGAGCCTACAGAGCCTAGGACCCCTGGAAGACAGTTGGAGAACACAGAGCCTACAGAGCCTAGGACCCCTGGAAGACGGTTGGAGAACACAGAGCCTACAGAGCCTAGGACCCCTGGAAGAAGGTTGGAGAAACACATAGCCTACAGAGCCTAGGACCCCTGGAAGACGGTTTGGAGAACACAGAGCCTACAGAGCCTAGGACCCCTGGAAGACGGTTGGAGAACACACAGCCTACAGAGCCTAGGACCCCTGGAAGACGGTTGGAGAACACAGAGCCTACAGAGCCTAGGACCCTGGAAGACGGTTGGAGAACACAGAGCCTACAGAGCCTAGGACCCCTGGAAGACGTTAGAGAATACAGACCCTACAGAGCCTAGGACCCCTGGAAGACAGTTGGAGAACACAGAGCCTACAGAGCCTAGGACCCCCTGGAAGACGGTTTGGAGAACACAGAGCCTACAGAGCCTAGGACCCCTGGAAGAAGGTTGGAGAACACATAGCCACAGAGCCTAGGACCCCTGGAAGACGGTTGGAAAACACAGAGCCTACAGAGCCTAGGATCCCTGGAATATGGTTGGAGAACACAGAGCCTACAGAGCCTAGGACCCCTGGAAGACGGTTGGAGAACACAGAGCCTACAGAGCCTAGGACCCCTGGAAGACGGTTGGAGAACACACAGCCTACAGAGCCTAGGATCCCTGGAATATGGTTGGAGAACACAGAGCCTACAGAGCCTAGGACCCCTGGAAGACGGTTGGAGAACACAAGAGCCTACAGAGCCTAGGACCCCTGGAAGACGGTTGGAGAACACACAGCCTACAGAGCCTAGGACCCCTGGAAGACGGTTTGGAGAACACAGAGCCTACAGAGCCTAGGACCCCTGGAAGAAGGTTGTAGAACACATAGCCTACAGAGCCTAGGACCCCTGGAAGACGGTTGGAGAACACAGAGCCTACAGAGCCTAGGATCCCTGGAATATGGTTGGAGAACACAGAGCCTACAGAGCCTAGGACCCCTGGAAGACGGTTGGAGAACACAGAGCCTACAGAGCCTAGGACCCCTGGAAGACGGTTGGAGAACACACAGCCTACAGAGCCTAAGACCCCTGGAAGACGGTTGGAGAACACAGAGCCTACAGAGTTTAGGACCCCTGGAAGACGGTTGGAGAACACACAGCCTACAGAGCCTAGGACCCCTGGAAGACGGTTGGAGAACACAGAGCCTACAGAGCCTAGGACCCCTGGAAGACGGTTGGAGAACACAGAGCCTACAGAGCCTAGGACCCCTGGAAGACGGTTGGAGAACACATAGCCTACAGAGCCTAGGACCCCTGGAAAACGGTTGGAGAACACAGAGCCTACAGAGTTTACGACCCCTGGAAGACGGTTGGAGAACACAGAGCCTACAGAGCCTAGGACCCCTGGAAGACGGTTGGAGAACACAGAGCCTACAGAGCCTAGGACCCCTGGAAGATGGTTGGAGAACACATAGCCTACAGACCCTAGGACCCCTGGAAGACGGTTGGAGAACACATAGCCTAGGACCCCTGGAAGACGGTTGGAGAACACATAGCCTACAGAGCCTAGAACCCCTGGAAGACGGTTGGAGAACACAGAGCCTACAGAGCCTAGGACCCCTGGAAGACGGTTGGAGAACACAGAGCCTACAGAGCCTAGGACCCCTGGAAGACGGTTGGAGAACACAGAGCCTACAGAGCCTAGGACCCCTGGAAGACGGTTGGAGAACACAGAACCTACAGAGCCTAGGACCCCTGGAAGACGGTTGGAGAACACACAGCCTACAGAGCCTAGAACCCCTGGAAGACGGTTGGAGAACACAGAGCCTAGGACCCCTGGAAGACGGTTGGAGAACACATAGCCTACAGAGCCTAGTGAAACATGTGTTCTTATAAGCCCAGTCATTGACCAATCGCATGTGAGAACAGAGTTTTGACTGGCCACTATTTAAAATAGGATCCCAGCTTTCTCGTGCTGCTATAATTTATTGCTCAATTCTTAAAATTAAGCACATTTAATTTGCTTTACAACCGATGTAGCCTAACTGGCATACATAGAAGGTGTGTGAGTTTCAAGTTTGGGGAAGCACATTTTCACCATAAAAATGCACCTTTATGATAAAGCATTCCATGCATCATCGCATTTGCAGAATTATGTAAGATAGCCTACTATTCATAATGTGGTGAGTAGATTTGGATAGTCATAATTTAGGCTAATAATATAACTCAGTCACTGTTCTAAAAAAAAAGACCATTCAATGCATGGCTGAGCGTATAGCGTAGAGGTTATTTTATCTGCTATATCAGATATAAGTTTCGTCTTTCTTTGCACAGTAAAAATATAAACTAAAATTACACTAAACAATGCAATTCTACTACACTTTATATGACTGGAGACATTTGCAGAATATATATTTTTATATGACAAATTACAGGGTAGCCTTTACTCTGCTGACACTGACAAACAGATCAATAAAAACAACGTTGTCCATATAATAGGCCTATGAGAAGAAGGAGAGACACAAATAGAATATGACGTCCATGTAAACTGGAGGAGGAAATTATTTGACCCCCCCCCCAAAAAAAAAAAACGTTTAAGTAGCAACGACCCGTCAATGATAAATAGTGAATATGCGTAGTGCGCACTCACCGGGGATATTGCTCTCAGCTGGTGCCAATGCTCTCAGCTGGTGCTATACTGTTGTTTGCTCAATTAAGTTGAGAATTTTGATAATTAAAAGACAGATGAGTGTTTTCTTCTCTTTACAGCAATAACCATTTGCTTTCCAAAGTATGCTTTCCTACGACTGAATTTTGACAATTTTGCCTCTCTACTTTTCACAGACAGTCGCAACTCAACAATAATCTGTCCAAATTGCACGTGTTGCCTTTCCTTCCGACTGTAGGCAAAACGATTTAAACATTTTTATTTTTTGATGATCCTCTGTGGCCAAATCCTGCTTTAGTAGCCTATTTTGAATGATTGTATTTATTTCTGTATAGACAGGAGTAGGCTAATTATGCTAGCCTATATAATTTTGGCAATTTAATTTACTTTAGGAAAAGCTTCCCCTAGCCTTATGGATGCTTGCATATGCTTGCATATTAAAAATGTAACCGAACGTAACCTCCATTCACTATTCGAGTGCAGGCTACGGATTACATATTTTTTTTGTGGGCCATTCTAAGTAAAACATAATTCCACCCATAGGCTATATGTAAAGACCAGATTAAATGTAAGAATAATCTGATGGGTGAGAATATTATCAAGGGCTTGTCAAATTGTGAATGAGAGACTGATGAAGTGTGTGCAGTCTGCGTAAGAAACAGAGCAGAGTTCATGCCTTTCATGAGACTTTATTCAGATAATCATTAGAGTCGCATCATGCAGCCTTAGAATGTATAAAATAATGCCATGGAATTCTAAGCAAATATTGTCTGCTAAATGAACTAGTGTAGCCCAAAATGTCATGATCAGCCACAGCCCTACTCCCTAGGCAATATTTAGACTTGAGATAAGTTGATTTCACATGGACTTAAGTCCATGTTTTACTGAGTCCACATTGTCTACCTCAAGTCTGAATCAGCACAACAGTTCAGTCCTGAAGACTGGCTGAGTGGACTAAGGCAGTGTTTTGACAACCTGGGTTCACATCCACCTTCTCACATGAATACCAGTGATGAAGGCCCACTTTACACATGTTACCTAATGTTACATATGTTACCTAATGTTACATCTGCTACCTAATGTTACATATGTTACCTAATGTTACATCTGCTACCTAATGTTACATCTGTTACCTAATGTTACATCTGTAATGTTACATCTGTTACCTAATGTTACATCTGTAATGTTACATCTGCCTACCTAATGTTACATCTGCTACCTAATGTTACATCTGTAATGTTACATCTGTAATGTTACATTTTATTTACATCTGTAATTACATGTTACCAAGTCGTATGTTACTCTCTACCTAAGTTACATCTGCCTTTTCATTTGTACATCTGAAGGGCATAGCTACCTAGCCCTCGAAAG